GTATTGTACTTTATTTAACTTCCGTTGTGTTTTTCCGTGCTTTTGTAGCTGTTTTCTAAATTTTCAGTGCGTTCGATCTCCCAGGGCCACCATAGAAATCTCCCTTTAAAAAAATGTATAACTGCCACAAAAACAGAGACCCATTTCCATAATACAGCGTTGCAATGCACACAGGAACACTACACGTGTGCTCACAAAGACACACCCCCTATCCAAAAAGGCTGCACCCACACGTCCATCTCCAGTCTGAATACTCACACAGACGTGAGTAAGAGGCTTCACGGACAAGGACTGTTATCACATGAATACGTCCTCCTCTATTTAAAGATGGTTTGACGTTTGGATTCTGGTCAGTCTTTAAATTATAATAATAAAACAAATGGTCATTCACCAGTTATTCCTTACACATCACCATCTAGTGTCTTGAATTGGAATTATAAAAATATGGCCACAAAAATAACAACCACGACAATCAATCCACGTGGGGAAACCTATAGGCTATTAAAAGATCTTTTAAAAAGTGTCTCTTGCGAGAAAACAAAGAAGAAGAGTATTACCAATGGTTATTGGCTGGTTTATTTATTTATTTATTTATTTATGTTTTTAGAAGAAATGTATCTGCTATGTTCTATTATCATATAAAGGGGATTTTTATTCTGAGGCTAGTCACCAATGTTAGGCACACTAGAGTAAAAATCAAAACAGAACAAAAAAACAAAGGAAGTCCAAACTCACCGGAGAGGCTCTTCAGCCGTCTTGCTCAGTGCTGCTGTCTCACTGTACCGTTATGTAAAGTCTACACATAAGGCTACAGGGAAGAGGGGAGAAGTGAAATGTCCGATCCTTACAAACACAAACAAACTCTTTGCCCTCATGCAAAAAAGAGAAAAGAAAAAAGAAATCCTGTTTGGAATCTGCCATCCCGTCGTGACAATAACAACGGTTTATATCTCGTCTTTACGCATTTCGCTGCCATCTGGTCAAAGCTATTATAACTCGGAATCATTTCAAAACTCAGGTGGAAGAGACTTATTGAGACTCGTGTTGTTAAAAACTAAGACAAAGACCCAAGTGTTTGTCTCCCCCCACCAAACACCACTAACATCACCGCATCTCTTGCGGAAAATTGGATCACTTCACCTACAGCGGGACCCACTTTCTTTCTTCCCCCCACGAAACGTGATGGACACATTGTGTGAGTGTGTAAGGGGGGCAAAACTGCTTCAAAGGATGAAAGGCAAAGGAATTTCCCTGCATGAAGAACATATTTAACAAGCCTTTATGCTGTCAGGAATGCTGGCCAAGGGGGAGAGAAATATGTTAATAATGCAAGCTACTGCCATACCAAATATGGCAATATTGTTACGTCTGAGCTCTGGTGCGCATCTGGTAATGCTTAGCTCCCCTGAATAAAGGCACCGGAGAGCCAGAAATAGACTGTTCAACGTATTTCTGCCTACACCTTTAAGAGAAACGCTCGTACGGTTATTTTAAACGTGTTCATCGTCTTGTCAAAGTGTATTTAATCAACTGATCTGCGCCTAATTACTGTGTAGGCAAAAGCATGCCTGACACAGTAATCAGCAACAGTCGAACATGTTCAGCTGCATAACTGACACTTAAATTAATCCATAATAAAGTTTTGTTCAAACTTCTGATCTGATCTTTAAGTCTTGGGATGCTATTTTGGGGATATTCTGCGGCATGACATTCTTATATGAAGACAAGTGACTCTAAAATTCAACGGCTGACACACACACACAGACACGCGCGCGCGCGCGCACACACACACACACAAAAGTGACAATAAAGCCTGTCAAGTTCACCACTTCAGAAAAACCCCCTCAAATGAAGCTGATGTGATAGACGTGAGGGACGAGCAGAGGAAGAAAATGAAAGGGGGGATAAACAAGAAGGGAAAAATGTGAGACGGAAAAGTGTGTTCAGATGGGATCCAGGGGGGAAAAATCCATTTGGGAAAGAGAGAGAGAGAGAAAAAAAGAGAAAGGTTTAGACAGGGTGGAGCTTAGGTCTTGGATGGAAAATGCGCCGAGAAACATTCCTGGCATAGTTTGGGAACAGTTCAGCAGGCAGGCCAGCGACGACGTCAGCTTCTCACTATAGTATAAAAGTACGGAGGTGGCCGGACCTCAGCAGACTGCAAGCGCTTCACTGAGAGCTTCTTCTACTCTAAAGGAGCCTCTGACGATAGAGACTACCAGCAAAGACATTAAGAGAGACAAACGGCTAAGAGAGGGAATACTTAAGGACTCCTCCGAAGACAGACTTTTCCTTACACCGAGAGCAGGATTCCTTTTGAACGCGCACAAGAAATTTATCCAAGATGCTGGTGCTTACTGTTGTCGTTGCCTTCCTCGGAAGCTTTAACCTGGTGAGTCTCGCTCTCTCTCACTCTTCACTGAAATATAAAGAAAAACGTTTTGCAGTTTTAATTCCCCACATTTAGTTAGAGAGAGGAGAAGCTGCTCTTTTGAGACAAGTTTATCTTGTTGTAAGCCATTCTATGTCGCTTGATTTAAACGTTTCTAAAATATGGTTTTGTGTTTTTCTTTTCTTTTTTGGTTATACAGGTCCTCTCCTCCTCCTATTCCTCCACCTCCTGCCCCTCCGTGTGTGATTGCCCTCGGGAGATGCCCCAGTGCGCACCCGGCGTGAGTGTCGTCCTGGATGGCTGCGGCTGCTGCAAAGTTTGCGCCAGGCAGCTGAACGAGGACTGTAGTCTGACCGAGCCCTGTGACCACACTAAAGGACTGGAGTGTAACTTTGGGGCCAGTTTTGCTGCTGCTACTACTCGTGGCATCTGCCGAGGTATGTATAAAGATCATCCTGCTCCAGATGTGCATGCCTCATGACTTAGCCTGAAGACTTTTTTTTAATAAGAGGGATTATTATTCAAGAATATGGGAACCTATGTGATTTCAACACTATGGAATGCAGCTAGGAGGAAACTAGTCTGAACCTCAAAGCACAGGCAGCCCACTGTGGAGGGAAAAAGACTCCTCACAGGCAGCCTGAAGAATTTCACAGTTTAACTGATCCTTATCTGGCAGCCATGTGATGTCTTCAGCAGACTTCTTTGAGCAAAGCAGGAAAGAATAACATTCCTCTCCCTCTGTTTTTTCCTTTTTCTCCCTGCTTGCTGCAGCCAAGTCAGAGGGCAGACCATGTGAGTACAACAGCAGGATCTACCAGAATGGAGAGAGCTTCCAGCCCAACTGCAAACACCAGTGCACATGCATTGATGGGGCAGTGGGATGCGTACCGCTGTGCCCGCAGGAGCTCTCTCTTCCCAACTTGGGCTGTGCCAACCCCAGGCTGGTCAAGGTAGCAGGCCAGTGCTGTGAAGAGTGGGTGTGTGAGGACAGCAAGGAGACAGACATCCTAGAGAAGATCTTTGGCAAAGACTCAGTGATGAAGGATTTGGAAGATGATCTCACCAACATGAATGAGCTCATTTCAATTGTCAAGGGAGGGCTGAAGTCCCTACCAGGTAAGAAAGCAGTCTTTAATTCTGAAGGTTTTTCTTCTGGGTTCAAGTGAGATGGTAAAATAAACTGCATTCAATTTCACTAATGTTTTCATTCCTTCTTTTTAATCGTAGCATACAGACCACAGCCGGAAGTCCACCACATGTTCGAGAGCCAGAAGTGCATCGTTCAAACCACACCCTGGTCCCAGTGCTCCAAGAGCTGTGGAACTGGCATCTCCACCCGAGTCACCAACAACAACAGTGAATGCAAGCTGGTCAGAGAGTCGAGAATCTGCGAAGTGCGGCCATGCACCCAGTCACCTTACTCCAGTCTGAAGGTAAGCTTGAGCCAGCTAGCTGAACCAATCCAATGGAAGCACGCATGATGCTGAAGGTATGCTACAGCTGGGTCTCGGTGCACAACTGACAATTGTCGCTCTTGTGCCCATTCTTCTTGCAGAAGGGAAAGAAGTGCAGCAGAACTAAGAGATCGAGCCAGCCGGTGAAGTTCACCTACGCCGGCTGCTCCAGCCTGAAGAAGTACAGACCCAGGTACTGCGGAACCTGCATGGACAGCCGCTGCTGCAGCCCCCACGACACCAGAACCATCCGCGTCAAGTTCCGCTGTGAGGACGGCGAGACCTTCTACAAGAACATCATGATGATCGAGTCCTGCAAGTGCACCTACAACTGTCCCCATGCCAACGAAGCCTCCTATCCCTTCTACCGCCTCTCCAACGACATCCACAAGTTCAGAGACTAATTGGTGAGGAGCAGCCAAACCCCTCAGCGAGAGAAAGAGATCAGCAGCAGCAGCAGCATCATTGGCAGCCAATGGCAGTCTAGATGAAAGCAGGGGTGTAAATAGACCACCAATCAACTACCAGCTTCTTGTTGTAACGAGATTCCCAAGGAATTGTTGGCTTACATCATGAGGACTTAAAGAAGTGCACTGTTTGCTGTGACTCAGCATGCCTAATATGAACTGCTTCGTATTAATTGGAGCATTTGAAGTAGCTTCGTTAAGGAGCAAGATGTAATTAATATTTGTACAATAATCTTAGTCGCTGATATCGATTCACTGTGTATATTTTGATCCCGTACACCAGACATGACCCAAACTGTAGACTTGTGTGTGTATATGTAGATATGCACATGCGCAACTTCAATTAGCATTATCATGTTGTATCTTTGGTTTTTTTTTTTAGAGAAAGAAAAAAAAGACACCAGACGATGAAATGTAACCTCTCGACTTGTTTAACAGGCGCGCGGTTTCATTCCTTCCTGACGTGGGCATTATTGTTCATGTTTTGTGGCAGCTATTGACCTCCCTTCATGAGAAAAAAAGAAAGAAAAAAAGACAAAGCGAAACATGTCAAAGGATGAATGAATGTTTTTTTTTATTATTATTGTTATTAATATTATTTATCAAAAAAATAATGTAGCTACTTTATTTGGATATTATGTGTCATACTGGAATAAATTGTAAAATGATTTAATTTTATATGCTACAATAAAACTGATTTATTTATATGAAACACGACGAGCCCAGAGTCGAGTCTGTTCAGACTGCACTGCGGGACGGGACAAACTAACGGCACACCGGGGATATTTAAGCCCTCTGTTATATCATTCAATAGAGCCAACAGATTCTCAGACAGACACCGAGCGGCTCGTTCTGCTCTTATATAACACAACCTTGGAGGCTCGCTCTCCTGACTTTCTGTGCTTTTGGAATGCCGTTCTGCAGCGAGCTAGTTTGCTTTCATTTGATCTGGCTAAGCCACACACTTGACCGATTCTGAGAAGAGGAAAAAAAAAAAGATTAAGTTCATGAGTAGCAATGAGTATGGGAGTATGCCAAGAATCTTAAGTGCTGCGCTGAATGGGCTGGGATTAGACACCATGCAACAAGGACAATGAAATTATTGTATATCATGAATACATTCCCAGTTACGCTTTTCTTTTCATTTCATTTTTGTTTTCTTTTTTTCACACAGCATTACCAAATTGACTACTCTTTAGCAACTGCCTTTAAAAAGTGAATTAGATGCATTGGCCCCTGCTGGCTCTTAAATTGCAGGGGTCTGCTAAACAGTTGTAAACAGTCAAACAGAGCAGGGAGGACTTAACTCTCCCTTCCAGGTTTTGGTTTAAGAGGCATGAATACTGCTATGAGACAGAAACAAGCAAAGAGCAGGAAACAGGGGTAACACAGTTGGTATTAGAAACTGCGGTTTTCAAGGGCACTAAAACAGTGTTTTGCTACCATCACATTAACGCTTCTCGACTCATATTCTGCTTTTTTATTCTTTAATAGACTCATTCTGTATGATTTAAGCCTCCGATTTAAGTTTTATAACCTTAAGGTTCCATCCATAAAAGTATGAAATGTATGATTGAAGAATAACAACCTGAAAAAAAGAAAAAAACTTGTGCTAGTTCTCACAGGATCTGACGTTTGCACAATGGTAGCCATTTAGAAGCATCGCGCTGAGGAGAACGACAGGGAAGGGTTTTCTTCTTCTTCTTCTTCTTTTTCATCCAGGTAGAGGGAGCGGCTCAGGAATGCAGCAGTGGCTCAGAAAGCAGACGTCCTGATGGGTGGCAGATGTTGGAAAATATTTCAGTGCAACATGTTCACTTCAGCTGAGGAAATTTTCCAAATATACACGAACCCTCCCGAGTTCTCGTTTGTGTCCACAGAAGGCATTTTTATCTCCTGGCAAGTAGGGAAAAAAAACCTGTCTAATCTCACACAACGTGCCACTTCCGCATAACTTTCCCACATAGCTCCTGGAAATAAATCTCAATCGAGTGTATTTAATGAGAGGCCGAGCAGGACACGCCACACACCGCACAGGATGTGCTCACTGGAGTTTTACACATTGCTCACATGAAAGGCTTCTGAGGTCTACCTAATCACAAAGATGTGTGGCCAAAGGGTCTAAACACTTTCAGGGTGCTGTGTTTTTCTTTTTTCTCACTCTTTCCCTTTCTGCTCCTTCCAAAAAAAGAAAATTTCCCTCCCTGTCTTTCATGGCTGGGAGGCTGCATTGCAATCAGACTCATTTGTTTTGATAACCGAATGCAGCACACTTGGTTATGTAATGGCATCTGTAGGTTATGTGAGCAGTGCTTTTGGTCAATGTAGAGACTTACAATTCCTCAGCCTTTACCATGTCAAAAAAGAGGTGGAGTGTGGATGAAATAACTGTGGTCTTCGAGCAAACACAGCACAAACCTGTAAAATCTATCGCTCTCTCTCACACAGGCGCCCCTGCAATTAAATTGCTCGGTGACTACCTCACTCCCTAAAGCAAAAAATAAAGTGTTTATATGACAAATACATTAGCATTAAAGCCTCATCAAGCAACTACGTAATGCAGTGCAACCAGAAGCTAACAGGACTGAGAGTGGCCATTACAACCCGCTGGATGCTGCTGAGAGCTGATGTCAACTCTTTTACAGCCCTTTGCCCCCTCCATCTACAACCTCAGGTTAATGCTCACTGTTGTAAGCAACCCAGGAGCAAGGAGAAAGAAGGGTTGCATACAGATACTTGTTTCATAACCTACCATCTGCTGGACAAAGGAGGAAACAGCATGCTGTGTGTGATTTCTGTCTAGACTCACACACCTGTTAAGACCTGCACGTTTTAAAGAGTTGTTGCTGTGAAATGTGTGTCTGAAAACTGGCTCAACATCATCGGTATCATTGTAGCGCTGCTATTTTGCATAATACTCTCATGGTAAAAAGAATGATGTAAAAGGCACCCTTTTTTCCCCCAGATCCTGACAGGGTGTGGGACCCTTTCACACAACGCAACAGTGGCAGTAAATATCACTTGACACACCCACCAGATACCCTCTGGCAATTACATAAGAATAAATGATGAGTGGGCTTAAGGGAAAATCCGAGTCAGTTCCCTCCCAGGCTGTTGGATTGTTTGGGATGTCCCAGAGGGACGCTGGCTACTACCGTGATTATTAGCTCTAACAAGCCGCACATTGATGGGAGAGGCAGAGCTTAATTGTCGGCGTCTCGAGTCTCAGACTAATGGATTTCTGCAATGAATCATCTCCAGCTCTGTCAGCTGAGCTAACACTGGCATTTACTCCTCTTTCTATCGTTCGACATGGACAGGCTAATGAGGTCACACAGTCAGGAGCTGTTTGTCTCCCAACACTGCAAGTTTGACATTAAGGAATAAATAGGCTGATGGTACTGAAAGCCCCTCTTATTGGCAGAAACATTCTTTTGTTGATTTTTCAAGCGGGTTTGCCTTTTGCTGAGGTGCCATTGTAAGAAAAAGAAAGAAAGAGAAGAATGTGAAAAGTGACTCAGAAAAAAAGTCAGCACATTGTTGTTGGGTGTTGATCTTCAGCTAGCAGGTGAAATGAAGAGCCTACAGATGGAAGGGATGGGGGATTCACAAGCTAGTGTCCTTTAATGCCCCATCCATCCATCTCCCCTTATCCAGTTCAGGGTGGCGAGGGACTGGGGGCCATAGGGCAAGAGGTTAGTACACACTGGACCAATCACCAGTCTGTCACAGGGCTAACTGAGAGACAGGCAACCAATCACACTCATGTATGGACAATTTAGAATCACTAGTTAACCTAACCCCACCAATTCAGACTGTGCAAGGAAGCTGGAGTACCTGAAAACATCCCACGCAGACACAGGGACAACGTGCAAACCCCACACAGATCAGGTGGTGGATTTGAACCCAGGATGTTCTTGCTTTGTGGCAACAGTCCAAACTGCTGTCCACCAGATTCATGGGAATGTTGCGTCACTCCCAGCTGTAAAATTTATTGGAACGTGGATGCAACGTGCAGCAAAGAAGAAAAGTAAATGAATCACATTTCAACAGCACTACTTCTACATGTTTTAGAGGTAGATTACTAAATCTCACTAGATTTTGGGATTCTCAAAAGACTATGGTGCCATCATCATCTGTCACATGATTCCTTGTGTTCTTCTCACTGAAAACACTGGTTACACATGCTGAGGCTCATGCATTAGGGACCCGGTGGTTCTTAGCACAGACGAGTCAAGATACATAATTTGGTTATATGAAATTGTGTTGAGCAATCTTTTGGCTGTTCCCTTTGGGGGTCACCAGAGCAGATCATCTGCATCCATCTCATTCTGTTCTCTCACACCAACCATCTACATGTCATCCGCACAACAGTGGTTGTAGTCAGTAAGTACGGTTAAACCTACATAGTTTTTTGATGTTCATTATCACCTGTAAATCATTATTACATGCTATTCAATGCACCACCTAATTTCTGGGATTATAGTTTAATAAATCTTTTAATATAAAGTCATGGAAATGGAAAATATGACAAGTTATCTAATAATCTTCTGAGAAAAATGATTTTGGGAGACACCTCAAGTCCTTAAAACTTTGTGATGTGCTCCATCTGTTTAATCTTTAAAAAATAGTCAGTGTCTCAGCTGGACGACCAAATATCTTTAGACCACATTGCAGATCGTCATACCAGCTGCAGGCATTTAAACGGAACGATTTCTCAAACAGAAACTGATTAGTGCAGAAACTTCTTAAAAAAAATAGAAATCTATTGGACACTATTTCCCAAAAGCAGATGCTATAGACTTTAATGATCCATGCAGATATGCTCCAAATAGACATTAAAAACTTCAATGTGTGAAACATAAGTTCAGAGAAAATGAAGATAATTGAAATCTGCTCCACAATATCTAATGCAATAAAATAAAAATTCTTCTCGGTTAGCATTTAAAAGTGTGCTTTGAACTCTCGAGCAGCATTGGGCTGCAGGGTTTGCTGATGTTGCTGTGGAACGCTAAGTGACAAGGCTTAATGCATTTTCCAAGTCTTTTGTTTCCCCCATGCTGGGTAATTGCAGCTCAGTTTCCACCATTGTGAAGGGATAAGGGCTTGAAAGTCTTCAGTCATTATATTGCCACCTACTTTCGCCTGTAAAACCATTTCTGATGTTTTTTCTGCATCTTTTGATCTCTGGAACTGACCACAGCTGTAGCATGGAAAAGTAGCTAATGAATGGTAGCAGTGACTTTAGGCTTCGTGGGCTAAAAAGTTCCTGCGTTTCTCTGCTTTTCACAATTGGTAACTGGGTCAACACACAAAAATATTTAAAAAAAGAGACACGTATGCGCTTACTAAATGCTGTCTTACAACTAGCGCTCTTAATGCCAGCTCTTTCAGATAGAAAACACAGACTTCGGGTAGATTCGAAAAACTCCCATTCGAAAGCTTACAATCCCATTTCATATTGCTGGCAAGGTGGGACTTTTAATGACATCCACAGGAACTCTTTCCAACAGAATAAGCTTCAAAGTGCTTTAAACATTCTAACTACCTTGGCTTCTTTACATGCACAGGAGCAAGAGTTTCGCTGAGCTTCATCTTGCTGCGAGAACTCTATATACTCCCACTGAATTCATGACTATAAATGAGGTCTGAAATCTCGATAGGTATTATTAAAATGCCCGCATCACTGCAAATGCCAGTGCTGCACCAGTC